ACATCAACATAATGCACTACGGCAGTGGTACAGCCAGGCCTGTCTTGGAAGACAAGAGGATGTTGTTGGTTGGCGGCCAGCACATCAGCTCTCTAGTGTCGTTGTTGTTGTTGAGATTGTCGGACCGTAGTCCGACACGGGCCTTTGCCTATAGGCGGCCCGTTTGGTGGTTCCGGCTGGAGCTCCTGGAGCAGCCAGACCGGATTGGGATTGGAGGTGGTCCCACCTGCAGATTGGAAGGATACTGCAGGTTGCAAGTGTGAGCGAACCCCCGATCAGTGGACGCTTACCACCAACCCCCACTCTTGGACGTGGTCAGTTTCGGAGTGGCGCGCCCCCCGAACTGGGGTCCGCACTTGCTGGGAGAGGATACTTTCTAAGCTATCTGGGTGGTGGGTATCGTGTGATGACCCGGAGAAGGTGGTGAATGTGGTTTGTTTGGGCCTTTCGGGTTAGAGTGGCCGCTGGTGTTGTGTGTGCTTCTTGGGAGATTTGAGTTCTGTTTCGGAGGCTTTGTGTGACTTCGCAGTCGAGGAGATAGTGTTCAAGTGGGTTGGCTGCTGGCTCCTGACAGTAGGTGCATTCCATGACGTCATTTCCGATCATCTGCCAGGAGCACTTGTACCCTAGTCGTAGTCGATGAAGGCTAACTTGGGTTTGTCTTGGTGTTTTCTTGTCAGCGAAAGGTGGTTCCCCTTTTGTAGCCGCCAGGTACCATTTGGCTGATTGGAAACCAGCGTTGAATGCGTGAAGGAAGCTCTTTTTGATGTGGAGCTTGCTAGTCTTTCTGAGGTGATTCTTGATCTGTTGCACGCTAGCTGGAATTTGAATGTGTATGCTACTAGAACGTGTAGCTGCCTTGGCTGCTTCGTCTGCCACGTCGTTTCCTCCGATCCCTACATGACTGGGAACCCAGTGTAAGACGACTGGGCGGTTTTGTCTTTGGAATTCCTGTAGCTGTGCGAGGATCATGGTTATAATGTGGACGTTGTCTCTTGGTTGACTGTGTTGCAGCGCCTGCATGGCCGATTTCGAGTCCGTGTGAATTATGATGGACTTGTTGTGTTGTGTTGCAGCGTGTTGTAGGGCCTTTGAGATTGCTACCAGCTCGGTTTGTAGGGTGGAGCAGTCATTAGAAAGTCTCCATCGGAGGGTCTGTCCTTGGGTGTAGAAGGCCGCTCCGGATCTATGATGTTTTGGGTCCACCGAGCCCTCTGTGAAGTATGATGCTGCATCAGCCGGTGTCCCGGTGGCTATGGCTTCCAGAGTTATTTTTTTGAGGTCCTCCTTCTGGAGGTTGGCTTTACTATCGCCTAGGTCGGTAATTTTGAATGTGGCTGGTGGAGGGCTCCATGGTGGAGGAACTACGTAACCATTGTCTCGTGTGTCTTGGTTGTTCTTGACGAGTGTTTCTGCTTGCAGGTGTTGGATGACCTCGCTTGCCTCGTGCGACCAGGTGGCCCCTCGCACTCTGTGGTCGAGGTGGAGGGAGGCACTGATTCGAATTTTGGCAGCTGTGGGCTTATCTGATCTACAGATTATGGCGAGGAGACCGGCTGTCACCTGCTTGACTCGTACTGCCAGGGGTGGTAGTTCGGTTTCCATTTGCAAGTTGCAAATTCTGGTCCACATGGGTGCTCCGAGCATGGTCCTGAGAGCATTATTTTGGATGACTTCTAGCTTAGCTATTTGGTCTTCTCTCAGTCCAATGAGTGCTGGAGCACTGTAATCTACCAGCGATCCGATGGCGGCCGTGTAGTAGGCTTTGAGCACATGAAGGTTTGCTCCTGCGGTTGTGCTGGTGAGCTACCTCATTATATTGTGTCTGCTCTTCGTCCTGTGCCTGAGATACTCGAGTTGCGGCTTGAAAGTGAGTTTCTGGTCAAACCAGATTCCAAGACACTGGTGGGTGTTGGTCCAGACTACCGGGGTGTTTTGTATGGAGAGCATCTTGTTTGGTGTGTCTGTGCAGATGGCCATCGCTTTCGACTTGGCTGGATTTATCTTGAATCCAAGTCTGTTGCACTCCTCTTCTATAAGTTGGAGTGCGTGTTGCGTGTTGGCTAGTCTGTTTGATCCTCTTACTATAAGCTGTAAGTCGTCTGCATAGCATAGGAACTTGGCTGTTTGTCTGAGAGGAAGTTTGACAAGATTTTCCATCAGGACATTGAACAGCATTGGACTGAGGATGCCTCCTTGTGGGGTTCCGTTTTCATGGACCCTGTAGCTTGAGGTTGCTCCCTGAAAGCGTACTCTTGCTTCTCTCTGTGTGAGGTAGTTCTGGATCCACCCCAGCAACCTTCCTTTGACGCCTTTTTCTGCGAGCGTCGTTGTAATGGCCAGTGGATTTGCTAGTTCGAAGGCCTTCTCCAGGTCGAGGAAGACCACCAGAGCTGGTTTGTAGTCCACTGTGCTGAGTATCTCAGCGATGTTGTTACCTGTGCCGGTGTTCTCGGTGTAAGCAAAGATGTGAGGGTGTGGGCTGCCTACTTTCCACTTGAGTCGGTTGAGAGCCATTCTTTCTCCCGTCTTCGCTATGCAGCTGAGAAGGGAGATGGGCCTCGGTTTGTCTGGTTCTCTGGGCTTCGGAATGGGCTGTATATCTGCCTTCTTCCATTCCGGTGGGAGTCTTTGTGCTGTCCACGAAGCATTGATGACTTGTAGCAGAGCCTCGTGTCCGGCTGTAACAGCATGGGAAAGCATGGAGTAGGTTATCCTGTCGGCCCCTGGTGCTGTGTCCTTGCTTCGTTTTAGCGACTTCTGGAGTTCTTGCTGGTTGAAAGGTCTGTCGGTGTCATCTTCACTGTTGCAGGCCTCTTCGATCATCTGCAGTCTGACCTGTCGCAGACGCCGTTGTGTCTCCTCCGCCTGTCTCGGGAGGTTTTTCGTTGCTGCTCGGTCAGAGAACAGTTTTGCAAGTCTCTCGGCTTCCTCTTCTGGGTTGGGATGGGTTAGTGGTGGTGGTGGTGTTGCCTTCCCAGATGCCCTTCGGATCTGGGCCCACATCTTGCCAAGGTAGGTGTGCTCGTTCAGTTCGGAGCACCACTTGAGCCAGCTTACGTTTTTTATTTCTTCCTTCTCTTCCCTGGTATCCTTAACTATGACTTGCAGGAGATGTCTGTTTGTTTCCGTGGGATGTCTCCTGTAGTTTCTTCGGGCCATGTTCACTCTGTGGTTGAGTTCTTTCACCCTGGGACAGTAGTACCAGTAATCATTGTACTGTCTTGATGTGGGTTTTGTTTTTGGGATAGCCTCTTCTGCCGCTTGGTGAAACGCCTCGACCAATTGTTGGTGGAGGGCTGTCTCGTCCACGGGTGCTGCGCCGGCCGGCTGTGATTTTTCGCGCCACTTAGCCAGGTGTTTCTTAAAGAGTCCCCAGTCTGCCTTTTGGGTATTGTATCTCCATCTCGGCGGGGGTGGAGTGGGGAGTTTGTTCACCTTCAGTGTTGTTAGGGTGGCGAAGTGGTCGCTGGTCAGCGTGGGGTGTAGCTGCCAGGAGGCCGAAGGTTGTAGTGCACTGGAGACGAAGGTTAGATCTAGCCTTCCTCCCCTAGTGTGGGTGGGCTCTCCGGTGTTCAGGAGGCAGATCTCGGGTGTATCTTGAAAGGTGGTGTATAGGTGTAGGCCGTCTTCATTTGTGGGGCTTACCGAGCTTAGGAAGGGATGATGTGCGTTGAAATCCCCTCCTATGAGTGTGGCGTGGTCAGCGGCCGAAGCAAATAATTGAGTCGCCTCCAGGGAGCTCCTTGGGTTCTTGTAGATGTTGTGAACAGTTAATGCCCGTTCTTGGAGGGTTACTTTGACGGCCTGTGTCTCGATGTTTTCCCCACATGGAAATTGCTGCGTGACCTCGGCGGAGGGTATGCTTGACTTGACCAAGATCATACATCCTCTTGTTGACGCCTGCGTGAAATGCCTCCTGTATGTCTTGTAACCACTGAATTTGAAACAGTGGTGTTCTTGTAGAAGTCTCTTGTAGCAGTATGATGTCAAGCTTGCCCTTGGCTGCTGCTTCTTGTAGGAGGTGTTTCTTGTTTTTGATACCCTGAGCATTCCATGTAAGGATGTTCAGGGTGCTGATGTTTTCCACCACTGTTTCATCGCGGATTTCTGGTGGTCCTCGATGGAAATGTCCAAGTCCGATTCCAACTGGATCAGGTTCATATCTTCTTGTTCTGTGGTTTTTGCCTTCTGGGCCGTGGTTCGGTTCAGTGGAGTTGAAACGTCCAATTTATTTCTGGGAGTTGTCGGTATCTTGGGTTCTCTGGTGGCCTTCTTCGGTGTAGAGTGTACCTCGGCTGTCACTCGTGTGAGGACCGGCGTGGCTTCCTCCACTGAGGTGGCTGGAGATGTGGCGACTTGCCCGAGGACGCTTCCCATGAGTATTTGGAGCTGTGGGGGTTGGATCTTGTGACCCAGTAGTCCGGCTAGGCCCTCCGCAGACGAAACACCGGGGCACAGACGGTGGAGAGGAGCAACGGTAGTGGTTGATGTCCAGAGAATCGACAGTCGACAGGTGAAGGTCTGGGAAAACAGCCCACGAGTCCAGGACCTATGATGAGATCACAGCCAGAATTTGACGAACAGCAGAGTAGCTAGATAGTGACTGTATGGCGGCTGGGGTGAATCTGCCCGTGACGTAGGTAGCAGCGAACTTCCTCACCTCCGTCCAACCCCCCCAAGTGGGGGTCGCACCAGCAAACGAGAGTTAGCAGCGTTAACGAGCAGGAAGATCGTTTCCGCCCTGACAATGATAAATATTTTTACCGATAGAGAGAAAGAGAGAAGTAGGTAAACAGAGAGCTAGCCAGGGTATAACCACCTTCAATACAACAAGATAAGTATGTGGACACATGACTGGGCTGCAAGTTCATGCTGGGTCTATGGATCCTCTAGTAAAGAATAACATGTTTTATTCGTATTTTTATTACAATCTAGTTACTATTTAAATACTTCTAAACTAATTTCATGTTATTATATATATTTTTTCTGTTTAACAGATGAAACTCAACTGGCAAAGAACATTAAGCCTCAGAGTCTGGTGACGGAGGCTGATGTGAAGGTTGCGCTTAAAGCGGATAAGGGTCCCGACGCACAACTTAGTTCATGGACAGTCGAGGACTTCACCAAACAGGGTGACAACTACGCTTGTGTTGTCAGCAGTGTAAGGGTCAAGTTTTCCTGTCAGGGACATAATTCCGAAGTGGTTTATGTAGTGAAGCTAAACCCCTGCAGGCCCATGGCATTTTGGGTGGATGTTACCGAGTTGTTCTTTTTAAAGGAGTCCAAATTCTACACGACTTTGGTGCCAGAGTTAAACTCAGCACTGACAACTAATGGACAAGAGCGACTGAGAGTACCGCGATGTTTCCACTGCGTCATGGAAAGTGGTCGAGAAGTTATATACTTGGAAGATCTTCGGCCTTTAGGATTCAAGATGTTTGATCGTAGGAAGGGCCTGGACGTTCCACACGCTGTACTTATATTACAAGAACTGGGCAGACTCCACGCCTCATCACTTGTGTTACAGGCCAAATCACCTGGAGAAGACATCATTCAACGTCATAACTACCTGTTAAAAGAGTGGACAACCCTTACTGATTCCACGGTTCATCTTTTTGAGGAGTGCTTAAGAACTGCAAGAGATATGTTGTTGAAATTTAAGGGATATGAAAGAGCGATAATTTGGATAGAAAGCTTAAAACCAAAGATAATAGAGATCCTGAAAGAACAGCTAGGGAGTAGCAAATACAACGTTGTCTGCCATGGTGACTGCTGGAACAATAACGTGCTCTTCAGGTAGGTCCGAGCGGATTCATCTTGCAGTAATGACAGTTAAACAGACACTACTCCAGTAACATATAGATTCGTGTTTCCTTTTAAGTTATTACCTTTTCTTTACACGTAAGTCTGTAAAATATTATCCCAATATTCATCTACAGTATTATCTTGTTTATCGCTGGTAACGCCTCTCTTCCCCTAAAGAAATATATCAAAATCCCAGCTCATATATATTTTCAGACATATTCGTAAAATCTGGAGAAATTATCTTAAAAATATTTTACCGTATTTCATTCATATTCAAGTAGATCTTGACTTTTAGAGTGTAAATATAAACTGTGAAGGGGATTTTTTGTATTTATCTCTTTTAATTATATTTCTATAATCAATTGCTATTATTTCTTTTCAGTTAATATTCGTTTTATCCCAATAGGTATTTCGGATTTTGTTACCATTACCACAAGGATTCTTTCTTCGTTTGGAATCGATTTTCTTCTTTGGTTAGGTTAGGTTAAGTCCCCTGGTTAATATTCGTTTTCATCCCAATAGGAATAAAAACGATTTTCTACCTTCTTTTCATTTCTTACTTATACTCTCTTGAACTGAATTCTCATTTGTCATGTAACATATATTTACCTATGTTCTATACATGACTCGTCCATCCGCTGTTGGAGGAAGTCATTGTTGTTATTATATTAGTTAAGGGAACTAAAAGAATTATCTACGTTTCTTAATGATTTTAAAAGTAAAAAAACGTGACATGAGGCTACATATGTCTTATCCCTATTTTCTAACTAAATACCGTGGGGAAGCGTCAGTTATACCCCTACGATTACAGACACCCATAAATAACTCCAATGCGCACCTAACCGCTACTCGTTCCCCCTTGGGTTATTGTCTACACCCGACATCCACTTTAAGCCAACTACACTTTAAGCCAACTGACTGCACTCGCGTAACATTTTCTTTGTAGCTGTAAGGAGTGTGTTCTGACTATTCAAACACAACATGTTTTTAAGGATTCTTTTAGACACTTTTCCCACTAAGTAATGGAGTAAGACCCCCCCTCCCTCTACCCCCGCCCTCCTCAATGCCATTCCCAGTAGGGCATCTGTTTCTGAGGGCTGTTGGGCTAACGAATTTGCGTAATTTCCCAGCTAACAGGTTTACATAGGATCAAGTTTCCTATAGCCCATAACGGTTGGGGCATCGTGGGTGGTTATGGGCGAATGAGAATTGGCGAGTGGAAGCCCCTTTTAGAAACTCTCCTCCTTTAGTTGATAATCTTTCTTCCCTTTCTCTTCGCTGTAATGTTTCTTCACACTCTCTCTCTTTTACAGGTACTTTAACGGGCAATGTTTGGTGGATTTGGCATCCTGTTTACCGCCGGCAAGACCGTGGGCTCGTACACTCGTCTTGCCCGCGGTGCCCACCATTTCTCTGTGGCTGTTGGTCACACTAGAATAACCCATTATAGTACATCCGTCTCTCCTCACACAGCCAAACAGTGGAATGCTCTTCCTTCTTCTGTGTTTCCATACTCATACAATCTCTCATTTCAAAAAGCTGGTTTTTCGTCATCTTCGTGGTGTAGATTAATATGATCTTTTTCTCTTCTATTTCTATTATTAATTTTTATTTACTCTTATATTTTCGCCGCCCAGGCCCCGTTGTGGGTCGATGGCCTGTGCCCAGGTGGGCTATTCTCCATAAAAAAAAGATAAAATATAGGTAAGACCGCTTAGAGATGACACAAAACTCTTAAGATGACTGAAGTATCATTTTTTCACAGGTACAATGAGGAAGGTGTCCCCGTGGAAGTGATGTTGCTCGACCTCCAGGTAGTCCGCTGGGCCTCGCCAGCCACCGATCTCAACTACCTATTGTACACCAGCCTCACTGGAGAAGTCAGGAAACCCAATTTAGACTCCTTTCTGGCTTCCTACAATAGCTCCTTCACTAAGGTCATGGAGGCTGCTCACTTGGACATGCCCTTTACAGACAGTCAGATCTACCACGATTTCAGAGACAAGAACTTGATTGGTGCCCTATTTGCTATAATGATAGTGCAGTTCATTCTTTTTGAACCGGAGGATATACCAGACATGTCAGGGGCTAAGAATGAAAGTTTCGAGCAACTCATGAATGAATTTAAGGTAAAATCTATTGAGCTGCTGGACACAAACCCTCTAATGCAGCCCAGGTTTTTGTCTGTGTTTGATGAAATGATGGAAGTGGGTCTTATTCCCTAAACGAGTTCACTGTGACCAAAAAAATAGTATTCACACTTGAAATTCAATCAATATGTATAATATGGTCTTGTTGCGGTAAGTCTCAAAATATTCTTAAATTTATGAACTTTTCTAGATTGAGTAGAATAAGAGGAATTTTTAGCCCTTATAAAACAACGATCAACAAACAATGAAGGGTACCCAAGTTTTTGTGCAATGGAAATGAATGAGTTGCAGTTCTTCTTCAAAAAATTCAGGGTCACAAAAACGCAAACATCTCAAAAACATAGCAGAAAAAAATGACATATTGGTAGACTCATGGTGACTCGATATAAAATGTATGAAGCTACCTTATCGCAATGAATTTGTCCGGTTAGTTCAGTCCCTTAAATTACTAAACATTAATGTTGTTTTTTAGTATGACTCAACTATTACTAATATATATTAATTAAGAATAGCCCAACCTTCTATGTAAATGAAAGTGTTTACTGTACTCCATGTAGCAATTGTAATGGAAATTATGTAGGTCAGGCTGGGAAAGCATTGCAACTCAGAATTAAGCAGCACAAGTACAATATTAGAACAGCATCTGAATGCAGTGCACTGTTCGTTCATTAGGAACAATAATCACCCCATAGATTGGGAAAACAGTTTAGAAGTGTATATATCATCATGTGTCACAGAAAGACTTCTAGTTGAAACAAGTTTGATTAGAGAAATGTATTCTTTAAACCTTAGTGATGGTCAGGACAAAACTGATAATATGTTACACAAATTTATTTGTCAGTGGCCCAAGGTTAAAAATGCTGTGAAAGCCTTTGAGGTAGATGTAGGATAGATGATTAGTGGGTCCCATATTTTTTACAATACAGAGACAACTGCGATTACAACATGTTCCTTTTTTAAAATAACCTAATGAATGCTAACTGGGATCTTGTCTATGACTCCGACAACCCAAACGTGAGCTGATGCAACTTCTCTTGCATCTTCAATGCTTGCTTTGATAAATGCTTCCCGCTCAAGACTAAGTCAGTGAAAACTGTATCCATTTCCAAACCCTATATCACAAGCGAAATTAAGTTAATGATAAAAACTAACACAAACTCCAAAGGAAATTTGCAATAAGACCCATAACTTTCGGTGATGCTTACCGAAGTATCAGAAATAGAGTAACTCGAGCAGTTAGAAATGCCAGACGTAGCTATTATACAAATAAGCTCCAGTCAGCATCAGGCGACAGTAAGAAAACCTGGAATGTCATAAATTCTATTCAGAACAGGAACACTCAGCCTTGGGCCCCCCATTCTGCTTTTATGATAAATGATTCAGCCTACCTGCAAAAAAAAAAGACAGCAAAAAGAGCTGTTCTTATCCCCTGTCACAGCAGATGAATAACTGGTCATCATAGTTCAAGCTTCAATCTCAGCAATGCAGAACTTTTGAAAAGGAACTTGTATTTCCCTTGCCTTGACAGAATGATCAATGAGCTTGACCAACGATTTACTGGTGTGGGAGCTGATCTCATGAAAGGTATCCAGGCTTGTCACCCATCCTCTGCGACTTTCCTCTCTGAAGAGTTATTAATAAAAGTTGTATTCACTACAAAATCCAGCTGAAATCAGAGGAAATACTGGTTGCTAAAAATTTTTAAGCCAGAGGGAAAGAGACAGGTGCCGTTACTGACATGCTCAGAGTATACAGGTTACTCGGTTCTAATATGTTTCCAACTCTGAAAGCCATCTTTCAAGTGGCACTTACCATTCCTGTCAGCAGCTGCAACTGTGAGCGATCCTTCAGTGCCTTGAGGCGTCATTGAACATAATGAAGTCATCAACAGATTTGACACTCAAATCAAGGAGATATAGACTGATGCTCCCCCCTCCAAAAAACTAAAGGTGACCCCGGTGTGGTAAACAGTAATTAAGTTAGTGAAGGGATGTCAGTTTTACTTTTGCAACATTTAATGCATTAACTAATATCAACACCCAAGCAGCATGCGCACATGTCTCATCACACACAAACACAGGCACTCCAACAGAACAATAACAATCCACAAGCATTGATCACCATATACACAAGTTACACACACTTGACATGCTGGCCTACTACTTCCATTATACATATCCCAGGAATTGCCTAAAAAATAAATTTAATAAATATTTTTCCTGTATTTTAGACATTTTGGTTTCTTCTTTTAACTGCCTTTAGATGGCAGGAAATGTTGTCACAGACAGTCTAAATTAGAAAAAATCCAGGAGGAGCATGCCCCCGGACCCCCCAAAAAATCGCAATGCTCCAAATGTCCTAAAGGTCCAACAACAGCCCTGGACAATACAGCTTGGAGGATTCTGATATCGTTGCCACCAAAATACACTTTGCATTATGTCATGATTATCTAATAATACTGTAACCCATCATGGCAAATAATGTAAAACTTCATTGAGTAACTTGTCTCGTGAATTTATTAACAAAACAATGACATCCTTCCCTTGTCCTTATTGAGAAATGGAACTCCTGTATCAGAGTTCGATTGTTGAACTGCGAGGGCACTTTTTTTTGTGTGTAGGGGGGAGGAGGGAAGGCGATGGCTGGACAGCGAACCCGTCATCCGGTAAGGAAGGGCGGACTTTACACCACCCACCTTGACTCTTGTGAGAACCTTCGTCGTGGGACTGTGCCTGACATGTTTTTGTTATGATTTTATGTATACGGCAATATTAAAATTAAGTCAGAAGAAGATATAGAAGACAGTTTTCTTTTCATAACACAATAAAGAGAATACAATTCTAAACATTAAGATCTTAATGAAAACAAGTTGTTCTGAGACAGACCTGAGAATGTGTGAAGCAATAGGTAAATGTTAAAAAAGGTCACCGACAACCTGAAAGCAGTGTAGGCAGCTGTTGTGCTGAGAAATGTATGTCTGATAGTCTGATAATACTTTATAAAATAGCATAAAAAGACATAATGAAACAAAGAATAACACGTACACATAGTATTGAAAAGAAGAGAATATAGAAGAAGAGCGAGAGAAAAGAGAGAGGGGAAGAGGGATTGATATTGATTAAAAAAATAATAATTATGAGGAAGGGAATGACGCAACTGAACCTTGTCCCTGGAAATAAAAAGAAAAATATTAACATCTTGTAGGGAAGATTAAGTTCCTTAGACATGAGAAACAACCAGTGTAAACATGATATTAGAAACTCGACAAAGAGACAGGCTAACTTGCCAGTCTGCCTCTAACCATGACAGGAGAAGGTGGCCTGAACATATACATTACATATCAGATTTACACTTAAATCTTGTGACGAATCAAAATATCATATCCTTTTATGTGTAAACACCTGCCTTGGGTGACGATAGCAGCATCTTTAATGACCAAGGCCTGTGTAAGCTGCTGAGATTAGACAATATAGTACTCTAATCTTGCCATTAAAATTGTTAAACTTACTAAGATGGGAATAAACATTGCACGGCTGTAGCAATGGGACTCACACACTGGTCGGAACGTCCCAGGATGTCGGCAATTAAACCAATATGAGTTTCAATACCTAACCTCCTTTTCTCCCTCTACCTTTCTCTGTTTTATTGCTCATCTTTCTTTTTCTCTTTCTATCTCTCTTTCTCTGTAGTCTGCGCTATCATCATGAATGGCATATTTTCATGGTTACTCAAAACTGTTGTTGTGGAGGCGACAGAGAAAAGTGTCTTATATAAAGATGTCAGTTATGAAGGATGGATGTAAGAGACTATGTAGTGTAGATGAGAAAGAATTATATATTGGAGAATGGAGCCTTATGGTGGAGTGTTTAGCTAAAGTTTAATTGAAGCTATGTTATGGGGTATGCCTTGAGCTCCCGGGAGATAAAGGAGGTACCTCTGTCTGAGTGGATAAAGTTGAGCATTCCACAAAGGCTAAATACTGTTTCAAGGCATTTGATCACAGTCGTGGAGTGCATGTTAGGGCATGGGAATGTAAAAGGGAAGCGTGAGTACTCACCAACGGCTGTAAACATATAAGGATTACGGGTCGCTGATGGTAGAGGCCCCTTGAAATCAATGCTGAGCCGCTCCATAGGTTGAGTAGCTTTGATGAGTGTCCCTTCCGATGGACGGTAGAACTGGGGCTTCAATTCTGAGCAGACTTTGTAAGATGCACCTGTTATTTTTACATCCTCTGTTGAGTATGGGAGGTTTCTTCATCTCACAATGTGTAGTAGCCGAGTTACTCCAGGATGGCAGAGTCCATTATGGATTTCAGTGAGAGAAGATGAAGGAAATGTTGAACAGCAAAATGCTCTGGTCAGCGTATCAGGAGCCACATTTTTCTTTCCTGGGCGATACCGTATGGTGTAGCTGAAGGATGCTAGCTCCAACCTCCATTCTTGCATTTTATTATTCGTTATTTTAGTTCGCCTTCTGCTGTCCAGCATAAATTCTACAGAGCGTTGGTCAATGATGAGCACAAAATGACGCCTGGCTAGGAAATGGCTCCATGTACGCACTGCCTCAAAAATGGCAGTAGCCTCTTTCTCTACAGCTGGGTAATGTAGCTCACTACCCTGCAAAGTCCTGGACATGAATGCAACAGGACGGCCACCTTGGTTCAAGACTGCTGAAATAGCTACTTCTGAGGCATCACACTCCACCACAAATGGCAGGTCCTCATCGACAGATCGTAGAGTTGCATCCACAAGTCGCTTTTTTATGAGTTCAAATGCTGTCAAGGCTGCTTCGCCCAGTGGGAACGTCTTACTTCTTACCAAAGGTTGAATCATGTCTGAGAAATTGGGGATCCATTTGGCATAATAGGCGAACATTCCCAGTGCCCTCCGCAGAGATCCTACATGGGACGGAATCCACACAAATTCGATACGAGAGTTCTCATTGGCAGTTATCACATTTCTTTTAATATCACATACAACTTTAGACATAGAACCTGACGGGATGTTCATTGATTTCAAAGCACTTCGAGAGTCACAGAATATCACCCCACCTCCATTTTCTTTAAGGGAGTCTGTGGCTAAGTAGATTCCAGTTAGTTCAGTTTGTGTTGCGCTGGCCCAGTTGTTCAGCCTTTGCTGGTGTGATACTATCATCTCTTTTTCTTTATATATTGCAATTGCACAGCCTGTTTTACCTGTGTTTGTTTGCACAGAACCATCAGTAAAAGCATAAAATTCACTTCATTTAATACTCTCTAAGTGTCTGTTAATAGTTTCTAGTGTGACACATCTCATCACATCGGTGTTTAACATTTGCTTACTACCAAGAGGAGTGTAATTAATAGGAACTGATATATGCAGCCAAGGAGGAATGGCATTAATGGGTTCGTCTGGGGTGATTGGGACATTGTTTCGAGAGATCTGCAACACCTTTATGAAGCCACGCCCCAAAGAGAGTCTTTTGTGGAAGGTTAGCGAGATAGTCGGGATTACTTAGATTGAACATCAACTCAGATTGAGCTGTATTTCGGGGACCATTGTTCTTCAAAACTGACATAAAACATGGTATTAAGTAGAGCTATCCTCTCAGATAGGGCGGGCAGCCCGAGCTC